AGCCACTGGGTCAAGTCTTTGAACCATGGTCAGCCATGTGAGAGCCCACCAATGAAACCGCTGCGCCACCTGCTGGCCCAAAGTATACCTCTTTTCAGCCAGCCTCGGGTCATACACACTCGCCACATATTTTTGTGTTTCAAATCTGAGCCTAAACTGGAAACCCCTAGAAAGTCACTGCGTGTGTAAACATTCTTTTTTTTTTTTTTTAAGGTTTTTGTCATATGGCGCATGCGCTTGCCACTGGAGAGAGACAGAGAGACAGAGAGGCAGAGTGAGAAATTGCCCCCCAGGGAGGATGGCCATGCCACAATCCTTTCTCCTCTCAGGAGCTTGGGTGTGCATACACATGTGCCTGGCATGATTTTCAAGCTCTATGGTCAGCCATGTGGGAATTCAGCACCTTCGCCACCACGCCACCTGCTGGCCCCTGGGAAAACACTCTTAATCTCAGGCTGTAGGAGCACTGCAGGATGGCAGGACTAAGGGGGCAGCGGGCCCACTCTCGGCCGTGGTCTCACAGAGCGTTACTATTGGAAAAGCCCTGAAGAGGCCAGTCCAACCATCCCAGCCTTGGGTGAGGACACGGACCCAGAAAGTCTGCGGGTCCAATGCCCTACTTCCTCCCAGTGAGGTTTCATTTCTGAGATGTTTTCTTTTTTATTTTTTAATTTTATTTTTTGCCATAGGCTCCGTGTGCTTGCCGGAGAGTGACAGAGAGAGGGAAAGTGAGAACTCACCCACTTCCAGGCGGCATGGCCATGCCTCCATCCCATTTCTTCCATTCTCCTCTTGGGATTTTGGGCACACGCGTGCGCATGCACACACACACACACACACACACACAGTGTTTTTCAAGCCACAGGCTCTGGGACTCCAACCATGCAGCTGGCCATGTGGGATTCAGCTGCCGTAACCCCCACACCACCTGCTGGCCCAGTTGCTGCTTCTTTTTTTTCCTTTTTTTTTTGCCTTAGGGTGAGTGTGGAGGTGGTGAGGGGTGAAACTTGACAGAGACGGTGAGAGGGAAAGTGAGAAATCACCCCCCCCCAGAAGGCATGGCCACACCACAATCCCATTCTCCTCCTGGGGTCTTGGGCACACGTACACACACGCCCGGTGTGATTCTCAAGCCACCAGACCAGGACTTGAACCGCAGTCGACCATGTGTGAATCTAGTGATGTAACCACTATGCCATCTGGTTCCCCAAGATGCTTTTTGATAATAGTTTTCCTATTTATTGAGCATGAAAAGAATCGTATTGCTGAAAATCCTTACAACACATTCTTGTTTTATTTTTTGAGAGGTTTTCGCTATAGGGCGCGTGCATTCGCCAGACAGACAGACAGAGACAGAAAGCGAGAAATCACCCCCCAGGGGGGATGGTCACGCCGCAATCCCTTCTCCTCCATTCTCCTCTCGGGATCTTGGGCGCGCACGCACACGCGCCCGGCGTGAGTTCTAAGCCACCGGGTCTGGGACGCGACCTGCGGTCGACTACGGGGAGTCCAGCGACATAGCCATTACGCTAACTGTTGGTTCCCCTTACAACACATTCTTAAATACCTTAAATAAAAGATTCTGTATTAATAACATCGTAGAGTTCAACTAAAACGTAGTTTTGTGGGGCCAGCAGGTGGCGTTGTAGGAAAGGTGCTGGGCCCTCGTGGTGAACTACTGTTCAATCCTGGATCTGGCAGCTTGAAAATCACGTCGGGCACATGTGCACGTATGCCCAAAATCCCAAGAGAAGAAGGGATTGCATAGCCGTACTCCTTTGGCGGTGACTTCTCACTTTCCCTCTCTGCAGCTCTCTGTCTTTCTCCTCTCAGGTGGGTGTACGTGCCCTATAACAAAAATCTAAAAAAACAAAAGATTGCTAGAGCTGGTACCAGGTGCCCAATTCTAGAGAGTGATTCCAGGTACCTCTGAGGGGCTCTTTAGACTTGAGAAGGCTGGCCTTTCGGGAGATGGGTACCCCCTCTGTGGGTCAAGTCCCAGTCTACATAGCCCCCAAACCATGGCCTTGCACTTTCTCCTGTGTTAAGTAGGACTGAGATACCCTAGGTGCTTTAAGACCGTGACCGCGGCACCAGCACACCTCCATACACACACACACACACACACATACACACACACATACACACACACATACACACATACATACACATACATACACACACATACATACACACATATACACACATACACACACATACACACATACACATACACACACATACACACATACACATACACACATACACACACACACACACACACACACACACACAAGGGACTTTCACCTGGAGTTTAAGATAAAAGTTCAGGCAGAAGTGATTGAGAATAACAGAAGCCTAGATCCCCCCAGTATAAACCCAGGTGTACCCCAGAAGTGTGGGACTTACTGTCACTGAGCATCTGGAACTACCTGAGTGACTACCGACAATACAGCTTTATTTCCAGAAAGTTATAAAAAACATGTGAGCTTCACACAAAGCTTGTAAGAATGTTCGCTTTGGGCCAACAGGTGGCGTGGAGGTTAAGGTGGCTGGATTCCACATGGCTGACTGAATAGTTCGAGTCCTGGACCTGGTGTCTTGAAAAATCATACTGGGTGCATTCATTCGCATGGGTGCCCCCAATCCTGAGAGAATGGACAAGGGACTGAGGCACGGCCATCCCCACCCAGGGGTGATTTCCCACTTTTCCCCTCTGTCTCTGGTAAGCGCACACGCCCCTATAGTAAATGTTTTTTTTTCCCTTAAAAAATGGTTATTAATTAAGATTTATGTACTTATTTAATTTTGTTATTATTATTATTATTAAATTTAACCAGAGAGAAAGCAATCAAGCTGCTAAGTCGGGCTTAAATTGCAGTTGGCCATGTTGGAATCTAGCCTCAACCATCATGCCACCTGCCGGCACTGCCTATAACCTCCTTTATAAAAAGCTTGTTTCTAGATTTCTGGATTCAGGAGGAAGGGGTGGGTTGGAGCCTAAACTGTATGCACCCCATCCTGCACCTGTGTGTACTGGTCCAGTACTGGTCACTGGGCCACAGAAGTTAATAATCTCATGTACTGAACCAGTGAACCGCATGTCTACCGTGTAGAGCATACATTAAAACATAGAGTCGGGACCTGCGGGCGACGGTGGTTAAGCTGCTGCACTCCGACACGGCTAACTCTGGTGAAGTCCCAGACCCGCAGTTGGAAAATCAAGCTGGCGCATGTGCCAGCGTGCCCCAAATTCCAAGAGAATGGAGAAGGGATTGTGGGGTGGCCATCGCCCCCCGGGGATGGTTTTCCACCTTCTCCCCCTCTCTCTTTCTCCAACGAGGGTGTGCGCCCTATGGCAAAAACCTACAAAAAAAGCTAAAAAAACCTTCAGAGTCATTTCCTCCGACCCCACATGTGTGGTTTGGGGTGGCTGCAACGAAGCGCTGAAATCCTACCCTCTGCGCGGGCACGGACCACCGGCCACGTTCTACGGGCACCGCGCTGGCTCCACGAGAAGGCCTGAACCGGCACCAGCAGCAGGCACAGGTCCGCACTCGGTGCCAGCCACCCACGAGAAGGGCTTGGGAAGGCAGCTCCTGCCCAGACGGGGGCCGAGGCCGCGGCGGCGTCGCCCACGGTCCCACGTGCGCCCGTTGTCCCGCACGACCGGCTGCGGAGATACTCTCGGGGCATCTGGAACCGCCAGAAGGTGCTGTGGTGGAGAATTCTAGAAAATTCTAGAACGAGGACTGGAGCGGGCTGGGCGGGTGAAACGGTTTCTACCCACTTGAAGGCACAAGACTGGAGAGAAGGGGGTCGGAGCAAGCAGCCCACGGGGCTGGGGAGGAACCGCGGGGACGCCCTGGGGAAACGGGGGGCCTAGAGAAAGGAAGGAGGGTTGGGGCGATCGCTGCGGCCGACCGCGCCGGGGAGAAGGGTCCTGCGGGGTAACACAGGCCGGGAGCTGTCGGGCCGAACCCCGGGCCGGGCCGGGCCGCGCGGGCACCAGCAGCGCAGGAAAAGGGCCAGCTCGGGCCGGGCGTGGCCGAGGAGCGACCGCAGGGCGGGGAGGCTCGCTGACAGCGGCGCCCGGCGCCCACAGGGTTAACGCCGGGGGCGCCGAGACTGGGAAGAACTCGGTTTCCAGGGCAACGGCCCGACAGTTCCGGCAGCGCGGCCCGTACCATCGCCGGCGCGCGGGGGAGCGCGGGAGGACGGCGC